CCAGGGCATAGTTTCCTACCTGCCAAACAGCGATATCTGCCCCAGGAAAAACACATTTTGCTCTCAGGAATACCCTGCAAACTGCTGAGCTTCTGAGCTCATTCTGGCAGCCCCAGACTGCTTCGTTTCAGCTTTTTCTTCAGATAGGCAAATTGTCTAAATTAACACTGAGACTTTAGGTACAATAGAGCTAATGCCCATGAAATACCTCAGGAAGGTAAATGGCTCCAAGGGCTCCCCCTATTAGCAGCTGATCAGTGAATAATTAATTTCCAGAGGAGAATTGCACAAAGCAAACCCCAAGGCACCGAAAAGGCTAACAGGACGGGCAGCAATTTCTTTGTAATTAGTAATTAAAGCCGTGGAGGCTCGTGATGGTCAGAGATAGAGCTACTGAAAACCTGGCTGAAACATTCACAGGTGCTGGGGAACATGTCCCTCTATGGCTCCACGAAGCTTTTGAGGAAAAGCTCACACAACAATGCAGCAACCGAAGAAAAATCTGCGTTAAGAAGAAAAGCCAACAGGTGCTAACCCATGTCCCAAGTTTGCTGCTCTTTTTTAGCCTCTTTCTGTGTCCCTTGGGGCAGATTTCACGCTGCCCACGGCTCTGCTGAAGGCAGAGGGTGGTTCTGGTGTCTGCCTGCTGTGCTACTGCCAGGCATTTCTCAGCAAAGGCAAAATAATAGGTTGGCTTTTTATTTCTTTTGTTTTGCAAAGTCAGGAACTCCATCTTAGTGCTGAAGCCCGTTGTTAGGGTTTGTGTTATTCTTGGCACGCTGACTGAAGTGCGCTCAGTATGAATAGCAGAGAGTTGAAAAGTAAATATTGTATCCTCTGGGATCAGCAGAGAGGGAGGGTGGTGATATTGCTTAATGGAGCACCCCAGTGCCTGTTTGGGTTAGGCTCACTGTAATTGCTCCCTAGGTGAGTTTATACCAACAATTGATCGTTTCAAATGGGAAAGAAGTACAAATGAGTAAGAGAATAAACACTGATGGTGTTATGAAACGCAGGAGAGGAGAGCAAAAATCCCATGCAGCTCCAGTGCGAGGCTGGAAGCAAAGCTGGACAGAAAATCAGGCATACTGTTTGCTCTACATGCAATTTCTCATGAATGCTGAATGATACAAGAAATTGAATTTTCCCCTAAAGCTCAAGCTACAGAGCTACTTTCCACAGCCTGATCTTCTACAAAGAGTTCAAGGAGATCCCTTTGCCCTCCCATCTTTTTCTCCATCCTGGAAAAACATGGGGCTCTCAACGTGAACAGCACTTTGTTATGAGCCAGTGGGTGAGAAGACAAAGAGCAGGAAGTGAACAAGCATGATGGAGGAGCTCTGGGCTGAGTAATCTTAGTGTAAAGCCCAGTGTGCTCTTCCAGAGACTGTGGCTGTGGTCACTGCAGCTTTCCCGTGGGTGCAATACCTGGTCCCATCCCATGCCACTGGCCTGTGCTGGTGAGACTCATCCCCTGCTCCCCACAGCTGTGTCCCCCCATCCCTGTGTGTCTCAGCAGCCTGTCCCCACCTGCCACTCACCCAGGGCTGCCTTTAGCCTGCCACATCTCCAAAGGGACTCCAACCAACCCAAAACCAGGGTCTGGAGTCTGCGGATGCCCTCTGCTAGGCAAGGGACCAGTGCTGGCCCGAGGACATGGTGCCAGCCTGCCAGGGACCAGGAGCTGCCTGGCAGGCCCAGTACTGCTGCTGCAGGCTCACTGCAAACCCCCAGTGCCCAGCGACAAACTAGTGCTGCTTAATGCTCTCTGGGTATCTCTTATTGTGCCTGTGCTAACAGCGGCTAGTGCTGGTTGCTGTGGCCCCAGGCCAGCATTACAGGGATCAGGAGGGGATGCTCTTGAGGTGCAGCTCAAGCAGCATCTGCCTGAGGATGGGCTGCACAGGAGGAGAGTGCTGGAGGGCAGGGAAGGATGGCGATGGAAAGTCTCCATTCTTTCAGGAAATACCAATGAATGAAAGGCACGGGATGGACCCAGTGGTCACTAGCTGGCTGGGCAACTAGTGCAGGAGTTGCCCTTGGGGGTGAAGGCTCTTGAGCAGGCAGTGCCCTCAGGGATGCTGCCACTCTGGACAAGCACAGCAAGCTCTGCCTCTGTCCCAGTGTGCACCCAGTGGCAGCACCTTTCGAAAAGGCTGAGCTGGCAGCCCCATGCAGCCAGCCCCAGGCTGCCACGGCGCTTTCTGCAGCTGAGCTCATTAGTGCCTGCAATCAGCAGGGCATGAAGGGGAGATAATTACATAGGCAGCACAGCCGTGGCTACGTGCAGGGTCTATATATAGCACCGTGCGGGTCTGTGCTGCCTGCGGTGCTTAGTCACTGCCCCGGGGAGCGTGCGGGTAGGGATGGGGCAGGCACTGCTGCACAGGGAGCTGGGCTGTCTGCAGTGCCTGGGGAAAACCACCCAAGCTGAATTAAATGTTTCACTTAACTATGTTTTTCCTAGCTGAAAAAATGCACTGAGTTTCCCAGTGGACTGCCATTTTGAACAACAACAAAAAAAAGGAATTTATTTTTGGAACATACCTAAGCGAAAGGTTTCAGCCTGGGGCCAGAGTGGTCACATGTAAGTGTATGCCCACACATAGCCCCTAGGACTCCACAGAGAGGGAATAGTGCTCCCAAACCTGTGGAGATCATCCCCTGGCTATGGGCTCCATGCCAGGCCCAGTTGCAGGGGTGGCTGTGGGGCAGGGGGCACCTGGCCCCGTGCAGCCCGGGCTCCCCAGGCCAACAGCCTTGGTGTCACCCTGCTGCACCCATCACGGTGTCTTTGGGCCAGCCCTGACATACAGCCACCCCAGAGCAGCTCAGCCCCTGGAAAAGCTGTTTGCTCACCAACCCACCACTCCCCAGTGCTGGTGACATGAGCCACCTGTCCTGTATTTCCAGCACTGCCATTTCCAAACTGATGGCAAGGTCCTGCCCTGGCATGTGAGGCCCTATGTGTCACTGGTGCCACCAGTGTGCCCTGACCAGCAAGCATAGGGCTGAATCCTCGCAGCAGCATCCTGGGCACAGAAGGGGCTGCAAATGTGAGGCACCCCAGAAGCTGCTCAGGGCAACTGCAAGAGCCTCAGGACGTGCCAGGGTGGTGACAAAGCACCAGTGATGTCAACCATGGGACTGTGGCACTGCACCAGGAAGTTCTGCTCCATTTTCCCAGCGAGCTCAGGACAGCAATGTGGCACTGCCAGGACAGAGGCAAGGTGGTGGCTTCTGGCCGTGAAACATGGGATTGTCCCCACACCATGCTATTACTCTTGTTAATGAGAGTTCTCACCAACTAAGCAAGTATCCTTTCCCAAAAAGGCACGTGCTCAGGCCATCTGAGCTGCTTGCAAACCCTCCTTGTCCTTCAGGGTGCATCACCTGTCCCAAATCCCACCTCCAGCACCAAGGCTGCCTTGCCTCGCACAGCAAGGTTGGATCACCTTGATTTCCCCAAATCCTACCTCCAGCACCAAGGCTGCCTTGCCTTGCACAGCAAGGTTGGATCACCTTGATTTTTGTTGAAAATGTGAGTCTAACACAGCAGGGTACTGCTTCTTTCACTCACCTTTAATCACCTCTTTGCTGCTCTTTCTGGGTGTGTGTGAAAATACTTTAAGCTGGGCTTTTGCACCCTTTGGAAATGGATTGGTTCAGCACATCAGAGATGACAGTGTTTGGGCTGCAACCTGCACCACAGCTTGTCATCTCCACGCATCAGTGCGAGGGAGGAGAGCCTCTCCCTCAGTAAGGATAGGTGGGAAGGGGGAGGGAGCCCAGGACACTCCTGCCACACACGGTGTGTGCAGTTATTAGGTTAAGCCATGTTTTGGTCCCCAGCCTTCTCACTTGTGTGTGCACATCACACAGATGCACACTGACACACTCAGGCTGGTTTGGTGTCCAGGCTGGGCTGGAGGAGGGTTCATGTGCTGTGCACCACCCTGGCACAGACCTGCACAGGAGCTCACACCTGCCAGCTGGGCCCAGAGGGGCACCACTCATTTAGGGAACAGCTCACTCACTCACAGCACAGGCACTTCCCACCTGCTTCCAAACCAAGCCTAGCTACAGTGGTGATGATCTTTGGAAGTCCAGCTTGGTGCTGGCCTGTTTATTTGCATCACTCACTCAGGACAGATGTGGGCTAAAGCTATGCGGGGCACCACATTCATCTGCCCAGCAGATACACATCATCTACTTTTTAATCATTATAAGAGCAGGAAACTTCCTATTGCACAGGACTTCAGTTGTGCTGCAAGAAACAGTCGAGTGTGTCTGACATCTGCAGCTTTATTCTCGTATAAAAGGTTAAAGGCAAAGCTGGAAAAATGAACCTACTGGTAAATGCTCACTGAATGCTTCTAGCACAAGACAGGGCAGTAAAGCCTTTATTGCTAAGAAGAACCAACAGAAGGCTTTAAAGCCCATCTAGCATTCAACTTTTGTTTATAAGTAACCCAATTTAAAGCAGCTTTTCAGTCTTTAAAGCCCTCTCGCCTTTCTGGAATGCTTCAAAAGGAAGATGACCTGAGGACGGTGTCTGCTCTCCCGAGGGACCAGACTGATGCTGTGCATGAGGTGCAGAAATGTGCCACTGAGGAATGACAAACTAAACCCATCTGCCCACTGTGGACTCCTGCTGACTGTCTGACAAGGCAAGGCTGCAGAGCACCCAGGGAGCAGCACCCTGCCATCTGCAAAAGGAGCAGTCTCTACTGGCCCCTTGGCTGTCCCCATGCCCCTGTGGCTGTGGCACAGACAGGCACCATGGACTGACCCCAAGCAGAGTCAGGAGCTGAGCCCTGAACACGGTGACTGTGGATGTCCTGCTCCTACAACTGAACTGCACTGCCTCCTGGAGGGGTGAGGTTACACACAGTGGGATACTGAATACTCTTGGGATCCCTAGAGATCTCCTTGGGATGTGGTGGACCAGAATTGGCCACTCTTCCCAAGGGACTGCTGGTGCAGCCACAGTGGCTTTGCAGGGCCTGCTGCAGTCAGAGCTGCTCCTGGGGGTGGCAGGTGCCCTAGTCTTCAGGGATTGGGGTGTTGCAGTTCCCGTGGTAAATTTTGACCTCGCCCTCACACTGGAAGTACTGGTCGAACACGTCGCTGTACCCGTGGTCCCTCCACCATGTGCAAAGCTGCCGGTTCCAAGTGCAGTCAAGCACATGGAAGAGCTCTGGGTGCTCCATCCCCACCATGGTGAAGAAATCCTGGTCCCCAAGATGGCCCTTGAAGTGGTACTTCTCCGTCAGCTTCTGCACCATGGTGGGCTCCAGCAGCTGGTTGTAGAGCTTGGACTGCCTCATGGCTTCCAGGTTCAGGAGCAAGACACCACTGTTGAAGCCTGGCAGCCCATCGGGAGGGGGCTCCCCAACTCTGGTTTGAGGGTTCTCGCGGCGATACTGCCAGAAGGTGTGCCTAGAAAGAGAGGAAAAACAGGAACGGGGAGTCAGGGAACGCGGCCTGAAGAGCAGCCAACTCAAGTCTGGGAAGATCTGGATCACAGCACAGGATCTACCACCCACACGAGGGATCTTGCAGTGCTTGTCTTCTGTCTGGAGGTACCAGCCTCTCAGAGCTGGTGCTTCACAGGCTGTGTCCCTCTCCATCCCCCTGCACCGGATATTGCCCAGACCTCAAACCACTCTGCTTACCACCTCCTAGAGCCCCTTTTGTTTCTACCAGCATCGTTCTGGTGAGCCAACTGGCCACAGCATCATGTGACTGCTCACATGTCTGTGTGGGGAGATGAAACCACACTCCCAGTGCCTAGGGCAAACCACCAGAAGTGTCCTCACCACTGGTACACACCAGGAAAAAGTCCTGCAGTTAATGGGATCTCAGCAGCAGAGTTTGCACATTATTATTTGATTATTGGGAAACTTCAGATCAAAGATGGGCCCCAGTCTGAGGCTGTGCAAAAAGAAGACTTGAAATAAATCTGAATGGCAGAAATATTTCTCCAAAATAAAAATAAAGAAATCCAGTGGCAACATCTCACTAACTGAACAAGCAGTGCTTTTAGCACTTGCAGCCCTGGGAAGGCTCAGCTGTAGCAGCTCTGGCAGACCCAGTCTTCACCAGCTAATTTCCAGCTGCCAACGAGAGCAGTGCAAGTCTAGCAATACATAAAACTAACTCCAGAGGGGGATTCAAATGGTAAAAATTTAGATTACCTAAGCAAGCAGCCCAAAAATGTCTTTGGCTCTTTCCTCAGCCCTGGGACAGTGAGTGCACCTCACCATACACATACACTGGCTGCTCCCACTTGCAGGAATTGAATTCATCCCATGCTATTACTTAAGCAGCTGGGGTTGAATCTGTCCCCCCAAATTGTTCCCACCATTCTGAAAGTCTTCTTGCCCCACGCAGCATCCTCTGCTGAAAGCTGAGCACCTGTGAGCTGTCTGAGCCTGTGGTTCAGAGGAGGGCAGGAGGGACCCATGACCCACACCACCATCTGACAGCCCAGGGCTGCCACGCTGCTGTCTCCTTCCAGCCCTCACGCTTAAGGCAAAGTTACCACAGGGATTTTTTACGCCTTGCTGCGAAGATGTCAAGGAGAAATATTGTTAGAAAGAATAAGCCAAGCCTGCCACTGGTTCCTCTTTGAATCTGTCAGATACTGACCAAAGCCTCCATGCAGCTCCAGGCAATGGGAATCTGTTGGTAGATGGTGTAGATTTAGAGCTCAAAGGTTTAAAGTGGTCCCATGGTTGGAAGCTGAAGCTGGGCTCATTCAGATGTAAGAAGATGCAGGGACCTTAGCCCCCGGGACAGCTCCAGAGGCATGGTGGGTACTCCACCACTGCAAACATTTAAATCCAAATTTTTCTTCTAAGAAGCTGTGTTCAGCTCCCACAGACACTTGCTCAGGGACTCCAACAGCCTGGACAGAGATCAGACTATTAAATCCATCCTTTGGGCCCGTGCTCTGGATCCCCAGCACAGTGCTGCGAGACTGGCCAAAGGTGATAGCCAGGATTCAACAACAGCCACCAGAAGAATTATCCCAGCAGAAGATGTAGATCTGTAAATGATGCCAACCGTGAACATCTCTTTTATTTTCTGATCTGAGGAGCCATCATGCAGCATCACTTCCTTACAACTTTCCTTTAGATGCCTTAGATTCAAAGCACTGATATTTCTTGTTTCAGTAAGTGTCTTTACACTGCTCCCTTTCACCCAATTCAGGATGGAAAGGGTTTTTCCAAGTGCAAGTTTCCCCCGGAAGGAGAGCTCAGTCATATCCGCACTTCCCAGGAAGGGGAGTGGAGGATGGGCTGCCTCATCCGAGCCCATGGGCAGCAGTGCTTGCTGGATCTCAAGGGCAGGGAAGGGATAAAGGGCTCTGCCTCTGCAAAGAGCACTTGTGTCTTGGCGACAGGCACTAGGCCACCGCAAAGACAACTCATGGGTGCTCCTGAGAAAAGGCAGGCAAAGTGCTCTCCATGCAGCATGAGAGGGAAGCTCAACCTGCAAAGCCCCAGCTGTGCACCAATCAGCCTCCTGAGATGCTCAGGGCCAGGGGCCTGAGCAGGGACTGGCTCAAGCCCACCTCTGCATATTCTGCTCTTTCTGCTTCTGCCTAGCAGTGCCAAGAAAGCCATTCCCACACCCCAGAAATTATGCTGGAAGCTGGCAGGAGGGAGAGGATGAGCAGTGCCACAGGGGGAGGCATCTTTCCAGCTCCACAGCAGTGAAGCCGACTCCTTTCATGTTCTTACCTCCAAAAACACACTGCCCAAGCTAAGGGATGAGATTACAGCCACTGCAAGCAGCAAGGATAAGAAAACTGCAAGCAGCCAAGCCCTCGGCATCGCCAGGCCGTGGCGGGACAAAAGCAGATCTGTATCAAATGACTCAGATTTTCAGCAATGCCGTCCCCAGCAGATCACTTGTCCACGGCTGATAACGAGAAGGGAGCAACGTGCCCTTTTCTGCAGGAAGAGGAGACAAACCGACAAGCAGCAATTGTTCAGCCCTTCCTCCCGGTGCTGGCGTGGACAGGGCCATCCTCCCCCAGCCATGCAGGGGAACCCAGAGGAGTGGGGCTGGGAGGGAGGATAGGGCCATCCCCAGGGAGCGAGGCCGAGGTGAGCTCCAGGATGCGATGAGCCGCAGGCGGCTCCGCAGTGCCGATGGTTCTGGAACCTGCTCACAGCCCTGCACAACAGCCTTGCCAGGGCTGGGCTCAGGCCAACAGAGGGAAAGGTATTCCGGCAGGGCTGCTGGCAGCAGCTGTTTAGCCTGGATTTTTCTTGGCTTTTGTCCTTCTAACGGAGGGTTTTGGTGCTGTCCTGCAGGGGCCAGGACAGAAGAGTGTGGCTGAAAGGCACCTCCACCTAGCTGGAAGTGGAGGGAGCAGTGGGTATGAGAGCATTGTTCTCTTTGGAGGAGATGGGGCTGAGGAAGCACAGCAACCAGACAAACAGCTAACCCAGGCTACATCCTGCGCCGCTCTGTTCTGCCTGGCATCACCCACTGGCACCCACCTCAAATTTTGGCAAGGCACGGAGGGGGAAAGTCACAGGGGCTTGATGAGCATGCTGTCAGGATGTGTCCTCAAGACAATCACCAAGGAACTGAACTCCAGGTGGATGCAATGGGAACATATCCCTGACCCAAGCCCCTGGAGTGGCCAGGATCTGCCCTGGAACAGGCAGTTCAGGCAGGGCAGCATGCCATCAGCCTCAGCTCTGGGGTGCCCTCCTCTCTGTGTCCCTGACAGTGAAAGCCTGGGCAGGAAGGCAGCCCGGAGATCCCAGACACCACCAGGATGCATTGGGGCAGGAAGCTGCTGGCCATGAGGAGGGGAGGAGAAAGGAAGAGGAGGCATTTTTGGCTTTTGTTAACAGCCTTGGCCACTCTAGATGGGAGGGGAAAGAGGTGACCCGGGGCCCCAGACCCCGTGGCATGGTGCAGGGGAGCTGTGCGGGGTGCCCGCCTGCAGCCCCAACAGGCTTTGCTTTGAGGAGCTGTTTATAAACAGAGCTGTCGTGTGCTAGGAAACATCTGGAGAAGAGCATTTCCAAGCATTCAAATGCTGGTCCCAGGCAGCCCAGATAAAACCCCCTGTTTCCACCAGGACTTCCCTTGTTGGCCCAGCACAGGGCACTGCGGCCACACCTCCCCTGCCTCACAGCCTGGTGGACATGAGCTCCAGCTCATTGAGCTGCCACTGCACCCTGCAAATTGTCTCACTGGAGACAGCTGCCAGGGCAGGAGGGACTGCTCCACCCATCAGCTGTACTCTGCATGTCCTTCTCTTGCTTTGACACACAGCAAGGGACAAACACCAGGTGGGGGAAACACTTTGTCCAAATCCTTGAACTTCCACTCATTTACTTCAGCTCTGGGTTATGGTATGACTGGAAACTGCTGGTAAAGCAGCTGGGTGCCCTAACTGGCAGGAAAGGCAGGATGGAGGGGTTACTGCCAGCTGGGTGACCAGCAGCAAGCTCAGAGCTCTGGCCCCACAGGCCGCAGACTGGATTTGTGTGCCTATACCAACCTGCATCATTCAAGAGGTTGCCATCCTGCCACACCAGCTGCACAGCTGCCACTGGCCTTGCTGCTGAGGACATGGATCCTCCCCATGTGGCCACAATTCCAGGAATGCAGATGGCCTGCAGAATCCCCTCCAGGCAGCTGAGGAATTGAGGAGCCAGGTCAAAAACACATGAAGTGAAATGAGATGCTGGGCCAGACCCAGGGTGGCTATGGCCTGAGGATGCTCCTGGAAGGCTGCAGGGTCTCTGAACATCACTGTGCACCATGCACAGGGTGGCATGCAGCCTATGCAGGGTGGTACCCAGGGAAGAAGGCTGCATGGCCTCTCCCTCACCAAAGGGTGAAGCAAAGTCATGGGATAAACAAGGGATCTGCAAGATTCTGGATGTAATAAACATCCCAGAACCAGTAAACTCCTCTCTGGAGTTCACTGGTTTGCTCACACCTCTTGCCAAGCACTGGCAGAGTTTGGGCCAGCTGCCTGGGAGCACAGGATGAGCAGCAGCAGCAGGCCAGCACCTTGAGGACATGTTTTGTCACCAAGCCTCTCTCACAGGGGTCAGGGGCTGGGGGACCCTGAGCCCCATCCAGCCAGGCTCCTGGCACAGAAGGGAAGCACAGGCTGCCAGCCATCCCTCTCTGAGCCTCTCCGGCAGCAGTCCTGCCAGCCTAAACACCAACTAAAACAACAAGCACATGCTCTTGCTACCTCCAGATATACTGTTCAGTTCCTGAGCCATGGCTGCCAGTGCTATCCCCAGCTGCAGCTGCTGGCAGATACCACTGTCCCTGTGCAATGAGCAATGAGGCACAAGTGCACTGTGCTCCTTGCTCCATGTGCTGCCAGGGCTCTCCTGGGGTGGGCAGTTGGACATGGCACCTGGCTGTGGTCCTGCAAACAACCC